TATTTTTAATCTTTTATTCAAAAATCCACCGGGTAAACAGTTTTGTCCACAGAGTGTGCTGCGCTCTAAAGGCTCCGTGTGAAATGCTGCAGCGCATTAGTTCCCATCTCCGAGGCAGCGCGGGGAAAAAAAACTCCGATCTCTTCAGCACAGGGGCCATAACAGGGGCCAGGGCCGGTTCTATAGGGGTCCAGGCCCCTGTGAGCCCCTGTTTAAAACTGCCAATGCATATCAGAACAGGGCTTCTTCTACTTCTTCAGCCTCCCCTTCTGCCCAAACAAAAGTTACGATTGTTTCTTCAAACTGAGGCCGTGCAAAGCACTGTCTACATCAGGTATGATAACATATGCTCATCTTTTTTTTCACCGAAATCCAATTCAAAAGATTCAAGCTATCTCTCTGAGGGCCCCGTCCCACGAGGCCACTGAAATACCCAGTTTGAAACAGGAATCTGCACAAATTTTGTCTGAAGTCTGCCAAGGTTGACACTAGACATGGATGATGAAAATGTCTCATATATTCATTTTAATGTGGAGTAAAGATCCGGATGTGTGGTTTGTGAATTCCAAAGTCCCAAAGCAATGACGGTATTCATCAGGAATACCTAAACATCTTTGTTCTCTGCAGTTATTCTGATTTAAGTTCAGTCAAAGAAACAGTTTTTAGCCTGGTTTATGACATTTTCCATCTGTGTCACCTTGTGTATTAGCACTGGAAGAATGCAAAGGTCAAAGGGAAGCCAAATTTCCTCTAGTGCGCTATAGCTGGAAATTCCAACATATGGTTTTTCCTCACAAGAGATACATGAAGAGGGCTGCTGTTTGTCTGGACTGGGAAGGTAAACATCAGAAAGCTGCAGCTGTTATTGATGAGTGAATGGTGTGTAACTTTCTTTATTAACATAAATAAAGAGAAAAAAACGTGCGGATCATATTTATGAGTGAAAAATCATGATGAATGGTGGTTTTCATTTCATTATTTCTGCCAAAGACATAAGCTGAACTTTACTCATAAACCTGAAGAAAAAGCTTAATTTTGCAGATCCTTCACCCACAATGATCAAAAACGTTTAATAAAAACGGATGTAACATAAATAAGTGGATATAGCCTTTTTTTATTCGAAATTTTGAGGAGTTTGTAACAAACTACAGTTAGGTTTCCCAACTTTTAAAGAGGAATCCAAGACAGCGAACTTTATAAAAGGAAAGATGATATATAATAATAATAATAATAATAATAATAATAATAATAATAATACATTTTATTTGAGGGCCCCTTTCTCAAACCCAGGGTCACCTTACAATTAAACAAAGATAAAAACAATAAAACCAACAGAGGCTGATAGAGCAATAAGAACAAATAACATAAAAATTCGAAATGTTCTAATGTCTTGGTCTAAAGGGAATAAACTTGTTTGAATAAGTGGGTTCTGAGGTGTGCCTTGAATAATGGAAAAGAGTCCGTGGCAGAGGGAAGTGAGTTCCAGAGCCGCGGAGCAGAGCAACTGAAAGCTCTGCTCCCCATGGTGGTAAGCAGGGGCGGCGTTAGGCCCGGCTACTTGGGCTCATGCCCCGAATCTTTAATGAAAAGCCCCGGATCTCAAACGTGGAAGTAACATGCAGTACCAAAGTCCAACAGAGAAGGAGCAGCTAGCAGTAGTTTGTATACAGCCTGCCTGAGCCTCCACCACTGAAGAAGAAGCCCTTCAGCAGCCGGCTTCTTCTACACTCTCTGCCTGAAACGCATGAGTGAAGATGGACATAAGGGCGTTTTTTAGACAAAAAAGTACGACGACAGAACCCCAGCTTTGATGAGACTGGTGTTGACTCAGGTTTGTGAGTCTTATTTGAAAATATTTGTTGTGCTGCTGGTTTGCCTAAAGTTAGCTTATCAGGTAAAGTGGTTGGAGAAAGAAAGGGAATATTTACTATCATCTCACACTAAACACTAACAGGAACAATACTCTGCCCTGAATATGCTTAATATGTAGCTTCAGATTAAAAATTATGTGGTACAAGACAAATATATATAATGTTGACTAGTGCGTGTCACGTGTGTGTGTGTGTGTGTGTGTGTGTGTGTGTGTGTGTGTGTGTGTGTGTGTGTGTGTGTGTGTGTGTGTGCGTGCGCACACGTGTGTGTGTTAAGCCCCGGATCTTCTTCAGTCCTTCATCCGCCCCTGGTGGTAAGGCGAGCTCGAGGTTGAACCCGATGAAGTGCAGATGAGGATCGGGAAGTGGCTGCAATAGTTAGTAAATTGCACAGATAAAGTGGGGCCATGCTATGGATAGATTTAAATGTGAGTAGTAGGATCTTGTATGTGATCCTGGTTTCTATTGGCAACCAGTGTAGTTTTTTTAAGAACAGGAGTGATGTGATTTCTTGAGGGGGAACCAGTAATGATGCGTGCCGCAGAATTCTGATGCTAATAAATCTAATGCATTGCTTTTCTGAGCAGAGTAAAACCACGAGATTAGCCAGCAGGTATCCAAAGTTGACCTTCTATGTTCCATAGTTTGTATTTTGATGTTAATGAAAAAAAGAGTAGCTTTAATTCCACAACCTAGCCAGTAAAAAGCAGAGAAAAATAAAGAATATTTGGTTTTTTTCATCCAGAAAAAAGGAAGGGAAGAAGAAGAAGGCATGCATCGCTTTAAAGAAAACATAATATAAAGTTCTCCCTGCTGTGTTACATCTGTGTGAGGTACGTTTCCCAGCATGGGCGGAAACCAACACGCACAATAGGAAATGCTCACATTTTCTAGAAAATATGGAGCTATGCGTGGTGTAGTTTGTCATTGTCCCATGAAGCACCTTCCACCAGCATGACACTGAAAGTGTGTGAATGGACTCTAATGTGTAATCTGGGCTTTGTTTTATTCTCTTCATGCTAAATGTGACTGAGAAAGTTTTATTTGAAATATTAAAGGGTTTTAAAGAGTTGAAAAACATAAAACAAGCAAATGGGAGTGTGAAATGAGGCCTTTATAACACCACAGCAGGCTGCAATAATAAAGTGTACTTGTACAAAGATGAAAAAAATAAGAAAAGTAATTTTAAAAATTTTATTTATGCATTTTTTTAAGGAGCATCTCATCACATCATTGGCAAAATCTAATATGCTTCTTGGAGCAAAACAGTTTAGCAATTTAATTAATGTAAAGCTTTGAAATTGAATGTTTTTTCCTGTACAAACAATGGTATTTTTTAGTTAAATTGCCAATTTAATTCCATTTTCCCTTTTCTGTTCCTGCCAGAATTTTTAATTTCACTAATAAATTTTGTGACACATCCTCATTGACACAAAAATAACAACTAGCTTTCATAACTTGTTTTTTTTTAGCCAAAAAATTTAGACAAGCCATAACAGTAGAAGAAAGTTTGCTCTGCTGGTTGGTCTAGCCACGCTCCAATGAAGCCTCAGCAGGTCTGCCATTGGCTCGGCTAAATTTAGAATGGGCCAATCACAGAGCTCTATGTTTTTAGAGAGACTGGATGAGCTTAGCATCCTTAGGACAGAACTTTTATTTTTTAAATTGCAGCAAAGCTACAATGGGGGAAAACAGCAAAGATGGCAGTGGCTCAGGAACAGCTCTCCATGAAGCAGCCGTGACAACAACTTTGGACTATTTTCACCAGGACTTTCATTTGAGACATGAGCAGATAGAGGTACTTAAGTCCTTTATTCCAAAAATGGACAATGTATAAGGGCGGGGGAGTTAGCAACAGCCGTTCGAATTTAAAAATCTCCTCCTCCTCACCCTGATGGTGTCATCTTACGGACCCTGCAGCAGACTGTCCCGTTGACTGATTCCTGTTTCTATGAAAACATATCATTGTTTCTTGGCTGTGATTGGTTCTAGCACTGTCCAACTGCATGCTGAGACAGTTTGAAAGACAACCAACTGATGCCTGAGCTCTGTCTATGGTTTCTGGCTAGAGGCCTTTAAAATTGGTCACAATATTAGATCCAAATTTCTCCCATTATTTAAATTCCATTTAATGTTCATTATTCTTTTTGATATTTAACAAAACTCACCATAGGGCATTAAACTGTGGTCCAATTGGACCCACAAAGCAAAGTGTGAAAACTAGCTGTGGTCTCTAAAATTTCATGGTGGTTTGTGCAACTTTTCAAAAGCTTAGAAGCTATTTTTTCACAGACACTCTTTTAAGATTTGGGATGTTGGAGCTGTTAAAAAAAATCAGCAATGCATTTTATAGTGTGTGGCAGAACAGGCTCCAGTTAGCTCATCCGTTCATGAAGAAACTCACAATTAGTAAGATATAATTATTTATAATGCTCACACAGAAATGTCCTTCCCATTGTCTAAAATGTCTCTTAAAGCTTGAGTTTTCCCTTCAGTTTGAGCAGATTAGCTAAGTGTTTTCACATAAAATCTCAGAGGCCGGCAGTTTTATTAAAATAACGTGAATAAGTGATTCAAGTTATGATTTGTTTTTTTATTCCTGCCAGTCACCTTGAGCTAATGGGATTAATCTCAAGATGTCACACATCTAGAAAATCATATTCTTGGAAACACCAGCGGTGCTCTTTATTTATCTCCACTAACACAAGCTGTACTTCTTTAATTTCCACACACTTCTGAATGTGAAATCGTCCTGATCTGCTTTATTGAAACATTTATTTTCTACTTCTCAGTGGTTCATTACTCCCAAACCCAATCTTAGTTTGTTTTGGCTTCAGCCTGAACCACTTTAAACACTCTCTTTATTCAGTCACTGCAGTGAAATCCGTCTGCTAAAGAGATTCATTTGAATCCCTTCTGTTTCACCTTCTGTTGACACAAGAGGGAATAAAAGTGAGAAAAGTGCTTTTCGTAAAGAGAGGATTCCTAGAAAAACTAAAGTCAATCGGGGAGCCCGGTGGCCTGTAGGCGTCTGAGAACACTAGGGGGGAGGGAGGGAGAGAGAGAGAGAGAGAGAGAGAGAGAGAGAGAGAGAGAGAGAGAGAGAGAGAGAGAGAGAGAGAGAGAGAGAGCAAAAGTCATTTCCAGTGTGGTGATCTTTGAATCACTAACTGACCTGTCAACAGGTGGCAGAGGGAGAAGTTTGCCGACTGATGTGAGACAGAAATTAAGATAAAAGAAAAGCTAAAGGATTGAAATCTAAGGTAAGACCATGATATTTAAAGTTTTTATTTATTTTTCCCAATGATTGACCATCTTAGCTTCATCTGCATGAATTATAATTTTTTTAATTTTTATTTCCAACTCTTTTCATGATTAATTCAACACACCTGAAGTTTATTGAAATCTTTGATTTATTTGTTCAAGTGTCATTTTTCATTAATTATTTCAGAAAAGACAAAGAATCATAAATCAGATTTTGTTTATCTCTCAACCTTTAACCCAACTACATTTCTTACTGATAATCATCTTTTCAGCAAGCTTTGCATCTTGTTTTTAATCATTTTTATATCTATGATCAGATGGTTTTGAAGGTGAGAATGAGACAATGCAAACTCTCATGTGTCATCAGGGTTAAAATGAGACTTTCTCAAGTTTCTGGGTTGGATTCTGCTCTGGTTTTGGTTTGAATTGCAGCTCCTTTTCCTTCAGAAAACTTTGTACTTGTCTTGTTAAATCACAAAAATAAAGCTTCAGTTTCTGTAAAATAAATGTGAATCATAACGTAAAACACGTATTGGTTATATTATAGGTTTTAAATTAAAATAATCCAGTACAAAAGGGAATCAATCATCCAATGAAATTAGATCCAAAATACAAAAAAAGTCCTTTTGATGATTACATAAAAATATTTTATAACCCTAAACAGAAACACATCAAATTATTATTTCCCCATTGCAGCAGCTTTTGCAGATTGTGAAACCATATGAAACCTATCATTTCTGGCTCTAAAAAAAATCCTATTTCTTTGGTCAACAAAGCTGTCGGCACATTTTTCTTTTTCTTCAGGATGATAGCCTAATTGTTTATAATAACTTAGTGCTGGGGAAAACAGATATTCTCACAGGGCTGTTGATCCAGTAGATTTACTATTAAACGCTACCGTGCTGGCTCAGGGGATACACAGAAGCCCTCCCAAAATCAGCCACAGATGTGAGCCTTCAGCTGCGCAAAATAACAGAGAAGAGGAGGCAAAGAGAGAAGGACATGGAATGAAAGACTCACACCCCTGACTGAATCTGTCAGGTAATGAAATTTGACTGAAAATAAATGGTAAATGGCCTGTATTTGATATAGCACCTTCTAGAGTCATGGAACCCCCCAAGGCGCTTTACAACACAATCAGTCATTTACCAATTCACACACACATTCACATACTGGTGGGGATGAGCTACAATGTAGCCACAGCTGCCCTGGGGCGACTGACAGAGGCGAGGCTACCGAGCACTGGCGCCACCGGTCCCTCCGACCACCACCAGCAGGCAATGTGAGTTAAGTGTCTTGCCCAAGGACACAACGACAGTGACAGACTGAGCGGGGCTCGAACCTGCAACCTTCCAATTACGGGGCGAGCACTTAACTCCTGTGCCACCGTCGCCCCACAAACCTGTCTTCTAATCCATGCTATCAGCATTATTTTAATTGGTGTGTGTGTGTGTGTGTGTGTGTGTGTGTGTGTGTGTGTGTGTGTGTGTGTGTGTGTGTGTGTGTGTGTGTGTGTGTGTGTGCACCGTCAGCTACGTCAGCCCAGACAAGAGCACAAGAAAATGACAAAAATCTGACATTTAAACATGTTTTTATTCATTTTTGGTTATTTGATTACAACTTTTTCTTCTGAGTGAAACAGAGCCTCCAAAGCTTTCAAGGATGGTCCTATTTGAGGCTTGGTGGTTTCTGTGGTTGAAGGAAAAAGACACAATCATGAAGATTTAAGCTGCATTCACGGACAATAATTGGTCACAGCTGTGTTTTTCTTAATTTCATTTCCATGTCTTGTCTAAAAGCTGTAGAATGGAGGGAAGGAAGGAAAGAGAAGGAAGGGAAAGAGAAAGGAAAGTGCTCATCAACACACAAACAAGCATTTGTGACCTCTTCTCATTGTGAAACTTCTTGGCTTGTTTATTTCCTAAGAGGTTTTTTCACAAGTTGAAACAAGCTTAGGAGAAAAATAATTTGCCTGAAATCTAATTGCTACCCAGAGAGGACTGGGCACTTGTGTACATCCATCCATCCATCCATCCATCCATCCATCCATCCATCCATCCATCCATCCTTCCATCCATCCTTCCATCCATTCAAATTCAATTCAAATTCAAAAATACTTTATTAATCACAGAGGGAAGTTGATTGCTGTAGTAGCTCAGAATAATAATAATAATAATCAAGTCATCAAAGAGTTATTGTATATTAGAATGGCTGTTGGCAGGAGGGATCTCCAGTAGCGGTCAGTGTTGCAGCGAAACTGAAGAAGCCTCTGACTGAAGACAGTCTTCAGTTGTCGGACAGTCTTGTGAAGAGAATGCTAAGTGTTGTCCATACTTTTCTTCCCATCCATCCATCCATCCATCCATCCATCCATCCATCCATCCATCCATCCATCCATCCATCCATCAATCAATCCATTATCATCCGCTTATCTGGAGTCGGGTTTCGGGTACAGCAGCCTAAGCAGAGAGGCCCAGACTTCCCTCTCCCCAGCCACTTGGGCCAGCTCCTCCAGGGAGCCGAGAGACGTAGTCCTTCCAGCGTGTCCTGGGCATGGGCGTTACACCCGTGGGGGATGTAGGGGATTCAACACCCAAACTTTTCTTATTGAGATCGTTCAACACCCACACTTTTCCAGCCGTTTTGCTCACCTCCACACCTCTCGCACTCACTCTGTTTGCCTCATCTCCTTCTTCCCCTCCCTCTTCTGTTTCTGAAACAGGAGAGGGAGGGAAGAGCTCGACTGAATTCATAATTTTACATCTTGACATTAGCTGTACAAACTCTCAGTTCGATAAAGTGAAGAACAACAATTTGCAGAGGGTTATAACAGGCGCGGTGCCAGGTTTTCATTTTTGGGTGGGCCATGGTAATTTTGGACGGACAGGCAGGTCGCGCTAGAAAATTTCATTTAAAAGACGTCATAAATTTTTTCCCCCGTCATTTTTATTTCTAAAATATGAAGTAAAAACTCCCAATTTAATTTTCATTCATTTGTCATTTGTAGGCACCAGAATGCATTACCTGCACTTCTAATATTTACCTCTCAACGAATAGGACTCTTTCATAAGTGTAGACGCACACCGGTAGTTTTTACAGTTATTCATGGGGCAAAATCTCCGACAATTTTGAAAATATAAATAAAAAAAATCCATCTTCCAGTGAAAGCAAAGCATCCAGCCCACCTCTCCAAATGCGTAAAATGTGCACCACAGCCGCTAGGCGCGCCACGTGCACCGTCAGCTACGTCAGCCCAGACAAGAGCAGAGCAAATAGAGAAAGAATAGAGGATAATTCTGTCTGGATGTGGATGGAGATTACATTTTACAGCAGCCTGATCATCATTTAAATACATCACCTGTCTTCTAGTCCATGCTATCAGCATTATTTTAATTAGTGTGAGTGTGTGTGTGTGTTTTCCACTTCAAACACTGGTCTAACCAACCAGACCAGTGTGTCCAGTAACATATTAATGTTACAATTAAACAGTTTCACTTCATGTAGGCTAGGAACGTTTCACCTGCCGTGGCCCGACCGCTTCTGCTCCACATAAACTTTGTGCGTGATCAAATGTCTCTACAGGTGCTTTCTGAGCTGAAGAGGCTATTCTGCCTCACACTGGATGCGTCATGTGCCTCCATATTAGAGACAAGCGCTGTTCAGCCAAAGTTTCATAATCAGAGAACATTTTTCCAAGTGACACATCCCTCAGAGAGACCGGCTTTCCAGACCGCTTCAGTGGGAGGAAATCTTACCGCATCGCCGTGGTTCTGCACTGCCCTGCGAACCCCTCTACAGATCTTCAGCTCACTATCCACCGTGTGCGCTCCGAGCTGCGCTGAGCACAGTGTCCAGTATAAAGCTCTGATATTCTGATGGGAATCATTTCTTGATTGATTTAATTACCTGTGTGTGTATCAGTGTGCGTTGGGGTAATTCTTTCAAAACAACCAAAATCCTTGAGTTTATCCGTCAAAATAAACAGTCAAATGGAAATATCTGTAACCTGCCATTTAAGTGTTTTGCCTTCCTGTGAAGATTGTTGCAAAGAGAAACAATTAAACTTCATTAACCCCAGAGCCATGCGCACTGCGCTGTACTCCGTGGCTGTAAATGAGGGGGAAACAATTTAATCGCATCCTTTTCTTTTCAACATGGTTTAATGTAAAGTTTCATTCAGTACAAACTTTAGTTACACCGATCTAACGAGACAGAGCCTGGATTTGTATTCTGAACAGTTTAAACATGTTTAAAACGGAGACATGCGTGACGCGTCAAAAATTCGCACCTGCTCCGCTATTATGGAAATTAAACTAACAAGATGAATAACATGAAATTATTTTAGGCACAGACAACATCCCCCACACTTTTGAAAATCTTGCAACGTGCCTGGTTCTGGGTCTTCCTTTAGGTCTCTTCACGGTTGGACTGCCCAGAAAACCTCACCAGGGAGGCACGCAGGAGGCATCCTACCTCAAATAGCTCCTCTCGATGTGGAGGATAAGGAGATCTACTCTGAGCCTCCCCAGAAGACCGAACTTCTCACCATATCTCTGAGGGAGCCCAGACACCCTGTGGAGAAAACTCATTTTGACCACTTCTATCCATCATCTCATTCTTTCTGTCACTACCCAAAGCTCGTGACCATAGGTGAGGGTAGAAACATAGATCAACCGGTAAATCGAGAGTTTCACCTTGTGGCTCAGCTCTCTCTTCACCAAGACAGGCCGGTACAAGGCCTGCATCACTGCAGATGCAGCACCAATCTGCCTATCGATCTCTCGCTCCATCTTTCTCTCACTAGTGAACAAGATTCTCTTTTGTGCACAAACCAAACTAATCCTTTTCCTTTGCATTTGACTGTTTGGTGCTTTACTCCTGGATAAATAAAAAACAAACAAACAAACAAACAACAAAAAAATAAAAACATTACACATCTCTTTATCAGACAAAGTCTCTTTCTGATATTTTTCTGATTCCCCTCATGGTGTGCAATCCA